GCTTGACTGCTGAACTCCATCGCCGCCGTCCATCATGATCTCTCTCATGGGGCCGAAGACCAACACCACTTTCTCCATCAAAAACCGCGCAATCTCTTTCGCCGTATGCTCCGCGACAGCCTCCGCGACCGCGTATCGCGTCGTGTACTCCACAGCAGCAATCACGTATCTCTTGCCGTTGGGCGTCACCGGTAGTGGGCCGGCAACGTCGATCGCCCATCTGTCGCAAACATCTCCAGTGCGCACACTCCGTAATGGCGGAACCACTGCTTTCGGTCGTGCTTTGCGCGAGCCGCAATCTTGACACGCTGATACCCAGCTGCTCACCATCCTGCTCATCCCAGGCCACCAATACAACCGGCGTAGTCTCTCGTTCGTCTGTGGTCCCCGTAGGTGACCCGTCCAGATGCTGTCGTGCGCCTCCTTGAACGCCAATGCCCAGTACGCCGCAGGCAATAGGATGCGCTCTTCCCCAGGCGTTATCCCCACCTTCACCATGCCGTCCTCGTCCTCGAATACGCGCCGTCCTCGATACTGTCCTTGCTCCTTCAACTTCTGCACCATATTTGATCGTCCTTGCTCTCTCTTGATGTCCTGATCAGTGAACTGCACGATGCCTAACTCTGCGCTGTCGACCCGATTCACCGTCGCTACTCCACTCGCTTCTGCTGCTAGTCGCCCAATTTCAGCCGCTACCTCGGCCTCCACTTCGTCACGGGAGCGCACCTCTTGCACTCCTCCGATGTCGGGGTCCTCCTTGCTCTCACCGTCCTTATCAGTCACTGCTGAGTCACCTGCTGGTCCTCGGGAAAAAAAGGCTTGTCCCCCCGCCCCCGTGGTTTTTTCTCTCACCCGCAAGGTAAATAAAAGTTTCCAATTGTCTATTTCTTGCCGAGAGGGAGGCCCCACAGAAGGTCATTTCAACCGCCGCGTTTCTCTCGCCGCTCAGGAGACCCCTCTCCCAGCCCAGAGTGGTCGCTCCCACAACGTCGAAATCTCCTCTCCGCTCAGAAGATAGTTTTCAAAAGACTCCATGCCCCACATTAATGCCGAGCCATTCCCAATCGAAAGTCGTAGTTGGGACCTCGACTCATGACTGGAGCGTACGCCACGTTGGTCGCCACGTCCTGGTCTGCGATACACTGCTCCTAGTCCGTCTTCGAGGCGTCCGTCGTTAACTTGAACGGCAATTTGTAGTCAGGGTAGATAAGGACAGGTCTTGTACTAAGCCATGCTTTTGCCCACGTGAACGCCTCCTCTTGTGCATCTCCCCAAGTCCACTCAGTCGTCTTCCGCAGCAAACTAGTCAGCGGCGCCATCTTCGTCCCAAACTCCGGCACAAATCGTCGATAGTAGCCAGCCAATGCCACGAATCTCCTCACCTGCGCTTCGTCTTGTGGTCGGGGGAACTCTACAATCGCTTTAATCAGCCGGTTCGTCGGCTGGATCCCTTCTGTCGTTAGATCATGCCCTAAATACTCCATCCGCGTCGCCGCAAAGAAACACTTGGACGCTTTCAAACTCAGGCCAGCTTCTGCCAATCGCTCCAATACAACTGCCAATTCGACCACATGTTGAGCCACAGTCCCTTTCGTAAAAATGATCACGTCGTCCAAGTAGACCAGGCAGCAGACCCATGTAAGACCTCGTAGCACACAGTCCATCAGTCGTTGGAATGTACTCGGTGCGTTGCAGAGTCCAAAAGGCATGCGCTTGAATTGGAAGAGTCCACGCCTCGTTGTGAACGCTGTCTTCTGCCTGTCTTCCGGTGCCACCGCCAGTTGCCAGTAGCCGGCGTGCAAATCAAGACTCGTGAATCGCCTTGACCCGTGCAGCGCTTCTAACGTCTCATCCACTCTCGGCAGTGGGTAGACGTCCTTCGTTGTCACTGCATTCAGAGCTCTGTAGTCAATACAGAAGCGCACGCTGCCGTCCTTTTTCTTTACAATCACCACGGGGAAACCCCACGCGCCTTCTCCCTTCTCGATGGCGTCTTGCTCCAGCATCGTGTCAACCTCATCGTCTATCAGCTCGTACTCCGACACTGCATGCCTTCTTCGTCCTAGCATGATCGGCGCCGTGTCTCCAGTGTTTATGTGATGCTGCACGTTTGTCTTTGCAAGTGGCGGGCATCCCTTCTTCTTCTCGACTATCCCTCGATAACGTCGTAACAACGCCACCACAAGCTCACGATCCGACGGCTCCATGTCTCCGATGTCCAACTTATCTTCGTCCGTCAATGGCAGTGCTTCTTCCGTGCTCAGTGTCTTCACCCACTCTGCCACTCGTGTTTGCTCTAGCTCGCCATTCAGCGACAGGATCTTCATTACTTCTTCCGTCGGAACCCAGGTGCCTAAGGCTTCACGGGCCGGCATCTTCTTGCGTCTGCCTTCCAGATTCATCACTGCTATGCGTACTGTCCCGTTGCGCACTGTGTCCAGTGTCGGCGCCATCAGCAAATGCCGCTTACTGCTTGGCTTGGGAACAAACACGCCCGTCGTCCCGTCCTCGGCGTCTACAGTGACGCGCACTACACTCTGCGTATTCGTCGTGAGCTTTACCGTCTTGGCCAGCCGTACCACCGCGCTGCGCCCGGCTCCTTCCAATTGCAATGAGCTCACTCCGTGACACGTGAAGGGTAATATGACCTTCGTGCCGTCCGCCTCTCGGTACTTCAACTCTCGCGTCGAGAAGTCCATTTTCACCTGCCGCTCAACCATCCAGTCTTCTCCTACCAGGAACTCGTCGCCCTGTCCGTCCACGACCAGCGCATCGATCGTAACTCTCTGCTGGTACTGCGTCGTGCCCAGAAACCTCCATACTCCCAGTACACGTGTTCGACCTCCGCCAAACCCTTCAACCACATCCACTGGAGCGTCGCGCGTAATGCACCGACCGTAGCGCCGTAAATCGACGCCTGCAACGCTGAATTGTGCGCAGCTGTCTAGTCGCACTTCCTGTGTGTGTGCTCGCGTAAACGCTAGCAATGCCGTCGGCAGACAACTTGGACTTCCTGCTCCTGCAGCTCTTAACTGAGCCACTCGTAGCTCTCGCCCATCCTCGCCCGCCGCGAGCTCCACATCGCCGTAGTTGCCGCTCTTTTCGTATACGTACTTCTTCTTCGGCTTGCACTTCTCATCCATCAGCTTCATCAACTTGGTCGCCTCGATCCGGCGTTGCTTCTCCTGTTGTCGGTAACGCTGGAGTCGTCGCACCCGCTTTGCTCTTCGATACGCCTTCGCCTCTTTGACTGCTTGCTTCCTGGCGGCCCGCATATCCGCAAGTGAGCCCTCCTCTTTTAGCTCCACAGGGCATTTCTCCATGTACCGCTGGACGCACGCCAACCATTCGTCGTCTTCTAGTTCTGCTGCCGTTTCGTCACTTCCGGGCGGTCCGATTACCGGTCCTGACCTCTTGGTGCGGCTCCTCTTCTTCCTTGGCGTTGGCGCGTCGACTGCTCTTCCAGCGGCCACCGCTACTTGAAGTGCCCGTACGTGATCACCGCGCCGTACGTGGTCACCGCGCCGTACGATCCCATCTG